GTGTTTTAATTGAATATCTACTAAATAATATTACAGAGAAGGTAAACCAGGCCAAAGTTGTCTAATTTATTTAAGGCTGGTTAACAGAGACGGTGGCATTCCAGAGCCTGATGTTTAATTGCCTGTGTTTGCTGGGAATGCAGACAGGGAGGAACAAGATCTCATTCCTGGTGAAGGGAAGAGCAGGAGAAATGCCACCCAGCCAGCCAGAACCAGGGAAGAATCCAGCCAAAGCCAGGGGAGAGCCAGCCCAGCCAAAGCCAGGGGAGAACCAACCAAACCAAATCCAGCCAGAACCAGGGGAGAGCCAGCCCAGCCAAAGCCAGGGATGAACCAACCAAACCAAAACCAGCCCAAAACCAGGGAAAAATCCAGCCAAAACCAGGGAAGAACCAACCAAACCAAAGCCGGGGAGAACCAACCAAACCAAATCCAGCCAAAACCAAAGGAGAGCCAACCAAACCAAAACCATCCAAAACCAGGGGAAAACCAAGCAAACCCACTCCAAGTAGGAAAACTCCAATGATTTGCACCTTGTGATGTCCTTGGAGTGACCAAGTTGAGTTGAGGAATGGCTTTAGGGCAGCCAGGACAGAGGAATCAGCTTTGGTCATTTATGGGATTCCCATACCCAGCCTGAAGCCTCCCTGAAACAAAACCAGGAGATTTTGGGTGGTTGTTTTATCTCTTGTGATTTATGGGATTTTCATACCTGGCTTGAAGCCTCTGTAAAGCAAAGTCAGGAGATTTTGGGTAGTTGTTTTGTCTCTTGTTTACCTGACAAATACATGCAAAGAAGTGCAATATTTTTGTAGAGTCTGTTTGAAAATACTGCTTTTATCAACACTGTATTTTGGAGTTTTCTCTCTCTGTTTAGTTTCAGTGTTGATATTGCATAAAATCTTGGATTTTACTCTCTGAGCCAGGGTTATTATATATTTCCCCTGTTGAATATTTGATAAGGTCTCTTGGGTACCGATTTTCCTTCTTTCTAGGATAACATATTATGGAAATTGTTTCACCTTGTGTCCTGTTTAAAGTCCTGGTTTTAGCATGATTCAATTTGGTTTGCATTATATTCCATGGAGTTCCTTGGCAGTTCCACATTATTCCAGAGTGTTTGTGTGGGGGCTGACTTTGGCTTTTCCTCCTGCTTTTGCTAAATGACCTTCATAGGATCATCTTGGGGTCTTTGTTGCGTTTAAATTTATTAGCAATTGGCCAAACTTCCTACTGTTTTTCCTGAGATAAATTGTTTGGATGATTGGAGGGATCCACAGGGGCCAAGGCAACCAAGGTTTGGAGTCTTCACACTCCAGGATCAGCTCCAGAAATTTGAAGTTGGTGCTTGGTAAGAACAAAACAACATTGCACACTTTAAAAAATACATAATGGGTGCTTTTCCTATCAGGGATTCCCAAACCATTTGCTCTTCTTGATGAGTTTGTTGTGCAGGAAAAAATTGGAAAGAGCAGCAAAAAATGACAAGTTCAGCAATGTCTCATCTTGGGATATCCTGAGGTAGAAATAAAGTTGTGTGATCACATGGAGATCGAATTCTTTTCTCAGGAACTCTGCACCTTCCAAAAGTCCCTTTGACCTGAGTTTTCCTGTAATGTCCATGTGGGTATAAATAACCCATAGGATTATCCTGCAGCCTATGGCTTCTCACTCAAAATCTATGGCAAAGGCTATTATTGGGTATTAATTAACTCTATTAGTCCTTCAGTTCTTGGGTGGAACTGCTGTAAATTCACTGGAAAGTACATTATATGTGAAATCTTAGGCTGTTTTATAATACCTGAATGGGGTATTTTGAGGATAGTGCACGTTTTTCAGTTCCCTTGATTAATGATTAGTTTGATACAGGGAGTATTTTTAGGAACATGATTCTGTTCCAGGTTAAAATCATTATTTCAGCAAGTGCTAGGGAATACTTTTAAGTTACTAGCAAAGGAAGTTCACACCACCTCAATTAGTTACTGTGGGTTTAAGTTATCCTAAACCTGGCAAAACCTGGAGAATCCCAGAATGGTTTGTGTTGGAAGGGACCTTAAAATTCCTCCAGTTCCCCCCCTGCCATGGGCAGGGATGGAACCTCCTTAATTGAATTCCCAGCTTCTTGCTACAGGTCCCTGATGACCAGGATTCAGATGGAGCTGGAATTTTTCCCCTGGCATTGCTGAAACATTTGGATGAGCCTGAGTATGATATTTCCTGGGTTTAATGGATGACTTTATATATATATATGCATGTCAGGTGGTGTTTTGCTGCAAATCCTTGACTATAGTGGGGAAAATTTCCAAAGCTTCTCTGGTAGAAAAAGGAAAACTCAGGAATAAAATCAAACTTGCCTAATGAACCAAAGAAAGGAAGGTGCTGCACTGGAGATGGTATGGAAAGCAAATTTATTGGGAAGTCTGGGGTATAAAATGGAGTAAAACATAATTACCTGGCAATGATACCAAATTAATGGTTTCTTTTATGTTGTGAGCATTGGAATGTTGGATGTGCATGAAGCTGCTCCTGGCTTTTATTTGTGGTGTTGAATGGTTTAAAATTCTGCAGGCACTCAAGGCTGTGTGGGAGAGACTGAGCTGTGGCCATGGGTCTGCCTAAAACAACATCTGAAATATAGTAATGATTGGAGCCTTATTTGTATAATTTGATACAAGCAATATAATTTAAATATGTGATTATTTCACATAATTATACAAATGCAACAAACGTTATGTTATCATTTATAGTATGGATTTTAAATATATAATTATTAGATATAATTAGATAAATAGAAGGGTAATTATGTAATATAATTTATAGTATATCTAATGTACTATAGAATGGGATGCAGAATATAATTGTGTAAGATCTCTAATATAATCTATTGGCTAACTAAAAGATAAAACCCTGCCATAGCCTGGCTGATTGATGCCCTGCAGCCTCAGGCTGGGGAGAGGTTTTCATTGCAAGTGACAGGTGCCCCAAGGTTTATTTAGGACAAGCTCAGCCTTGTCCTGGTTAGTTTGATAATGTTTTCCTTATGGATGTTCCAGCAGTGCATTTCCTGCGTTAGGGCCTTGTGCTACACCAATATTCCTGTCTGGGCTGCCTCAACTACAAATTGGCTGAACAGCCCGTGACACTTTTTCAATATTATTACATTAAACCAAGTGGATTTTGATTGATAACCTAATATTCAACTAATGCAAAACATCAATCATGGCAAGTATATTAATTATTTAATATTGCAGCCTAATTCAGGAATCGATGTGCTGCAGGAGGGGAAGGGAAACTCGCTGTTCCCAGAAGGTTTGAGACAGGCCATGATTAAAAAACAGCCCCACCAAGCCCCGCTCTGCTCCCGTGTGTTGGTTCGATACAAATCTTTATTCATTTGCCAATAATCTCCTCACATTTTCCACTTCAGGACCTTTTTTATCAGTTTTGAGGCCTGGAATTGAATTAGGGCTGCTTTCAGCACAGGCTGAGGGAGGTGCACAGATATTGATGGCAGGGATGGGGCTGGCCCGGGAGCTCCTCCAGCCCTGCCCTGCGTCCTCTCCCAAAGCAGCCCCACCTCCAAGGGCCAGGTGGAGCCTCCAGAAGGGATCACGGGATCATGGAATGCTCTGGGTGGGAAGGGAGATCAATCCCATCCATCCCAGCCCTGCCATGGCAGGGACACCTCCCACTGCCCCAGGTGCTCCAGCCCCAGTGTCCAGCCTGGCCTTGGGCACTGCCAGGGATGCAGGGGCAGCCCCAGCTGCTCTGGGAATCCCATCCCAGCCAGGAATTCCCAATTCCCAATCTCCCACCCATCCCTGCCCTCTGGCACTGGCAGCCATTCCCTGGCTCCTGTCCCTCCATCCTTGTCCCCAGTCCCTCTGCAGCTCTCCTGCAGCCCCTTCAGGCCCTGCCAGGGGCTCTGAGCTCTCCCTGGATCCTCCTCCTGTCTCCAAAATTGGGATAAATCCTCTAGGACTGAGAAATTAAATTTTTTCAAAGTCAAACAGCTAAAGTACTTATTTTTTTATTATTTTTTTTTTCCCCTTTTGCTTCATTAAGGACATTTAAATAGAAAAAAACTGCATGGCAGATTTTTGGAAAAGCTTTAGGAAATGATAAATAATTAGCAATTTTAGTACTAGTAATTAGTAATAGTGTAGTGTAAACTGGTTCCCTGCAGTCCTCACAGGCTGGTTTCTCTGTTTGCTGTGGGAATCACCCACCTTCCAAGAGGGGATGTTGGAATTAGGTAGAACCTGGAGCTGATGGAAGCAGAAACAGTCTCCTTTTCTGGTGGGTTGGGATTTCAGGAATTTTTAATTTGTTTTCCATTGGATTTCATCTTTTTTTTCCATAGCAGGATATGTTAAAGATAAATTTTCCCTCTGAATTTTTGCTTTTCAGAGTTTTTACTCAGATACTTTGGTCCTTCTTTTTTTTTTTTTTTTTTTTTTTGCAGCTGCCTTTATGTAAAATTCTTCCCATTTTCTCTGTGCACCCCTTTGCACTTTTTGCAGCTTTCAGGGATTGGATGCCCAGCTCCAGTATGGCTGCCACGAGCCATGGAATTATTCACAATTCCTTCCCTCCATCCCCTTGGAAAGGGGCAGGGAATTTCATTGTGGTAGTGGTGGCAGGGCAGAACCAGGAGGCACCAAACGTGGATTTGATAAACAGCTCCATGGCCTGGCCTGGCTGATTCTTTCCAGGGTAACTAGTGGGATAATTAGATTAAAATGTTAATTTAAATGTGTGTCCTGTGGCATTGCCACTGTTTGTAGCAATTTCAGGGCGGGTACTATTTGAGGGTTGAATTCTGACATTGAGCATTAGGATAATCAATGTTTTTTAGGTGTTACAGGTAAATATGTGTATTAAAATTAAAAATTTGACACACTGGAGAAATTACCCAGCTTTGCCATTTCAGAGTTAAACAGAAATCGTTGCAGACAAGGGTTTAGCAACTATTTAGAACTTTTGTTCTTCTCTTACAGGGACTCTGCAAACATCAAAGCTGGATTAGAACATCTGGTAAGTTTTAATTTTCTCTTGAACATTTGCATCATCTTTGATATCTGCATTCCAAATGAACACTTTTGAATGAGCTTTGAATACCTTGAATTGAGAAAGTCAACCATTTCCCAGAGGGTCAGGCTACTGTTATTATGTGAAGGCACTCACATTTTCATTTATCTCCCCATTTCAAGGGAATTTTAATTTTTTTAAATTACTTTTTTTTGATGTCGAGATGAAATAAACTGGACTACAATCCTTGGATTGATGATTGCCTTAATTATAAACAAAAATTGTTTGGTGTTGGATTTTTGGCATATCCTGATCTGAAAACAACAAACTTGTGATTAAAAAAAAAGTTAAAAAAAAAAAAAAAGAGCCAGGGACACAATCAAATATTGCATGCATAAATATGGTGTGTTTGAGTCATTTGGAGGCTTTGAAAGAAGTGCACAGCTTTGTGTTTTCTCTTGTCTTTGCTTTATGAATAATGGATCGACTTAAACTCCATTCAGGGCTGCAGTAGGAAATAATAATTGAGGTGCAAAATATTTCTGGTTTAAGTAAACATGTTAAACCCACAAGTGATGGCAAGCCAGGCTTAGCATTAAAAACTCATCAGTTGATCAAAACTGGGAAAAATAAAATCTTGTCACAAGTCAGAAGCTGGTTGAGCCTCACATGTTGGTACCAGCAGTCAGTGGAACATTAAATAGTTGATGTAAAGTGATTATTAAATCCCATTAAATTAAAATATTCACTGTTAATGGCACATCCATCCTGAGAAGGGTTTTTCATGGAATATGTAAATAATCCCTGCTGTTCCATAGTGCTGTGAAAAACATTGCGTGTCTCGTTGGACAGAGCTGCTTTTCTCTTGTTGCTTCCCATTCTGGGAATCACTTGGGAAGGATTTGGAGGAGCTTGGGCACCAGGATCTCCTTGGAGGTCCAGAGGGGTGGAGAGGATGGGAGATCCTGGTGGGATTGAGATCTTGATGGGATGGAAAGGATGGCGATTGTGATGGGATGGAGATCCTGGTGGGATGGAGAGGATGGAGATCCTGGTGGAGTGGAGAGGATGGAGATCTTGGTGGGATTGAGATTCTTGGTGGGATGGAAAGGATGGCGATTGTGATGGGATGAAGGTCATGGTGGAGTGGACAGGATGGAGATCCTGGTGGGATGGAGATCCTGGTGGGATGGAAAGGATGGCGATTGTGATGGGATGGAGATCCTGGTGGAGTGGAGAGGATGGAGATCCTGGTGGGATTGAGATTCTTGGTCGGATGGAAAGGATGGTGATTGTGATGGGATGAAGGTCATGGTGGAGTGGAGAGGTTGGAGATCCTGGTGGGATGGAGAGGATGGAGATCCTGGTGGGATGGAGAGGATGGAGATCCTGGTGGGATATGATCTTGTTGGGATGGAAAGGATGGTGATTGTGATGGGATGAAGGTCATGGTGGAGTGGAGAGGTTGGAGATCCTGGTGGGATGGAGATCCTGGTGGGATGGAAATGATGGAGATCCTGCTGGGATTGAGATCCTCAAGCTCCTCCTTTTTAAAGATGCCCTGTGAAATGTGTTGGGAATCACCAAATGCAATAAAGAGCAGAGTTCTCAGAGCAGTTGGAAAATCCACCTTGTTTGCTGCTTCCAGGGGTGTCTCACCTGCAGGTTGAATCCCTTAGAGGTCTTTATCTTGATTTGATAATCTGTTATTAAATCCCTTCTGTAAAAAAAGGGTGGTTTACAATTTGGGATTTACAAGAGTCTGGACTGACAGAACACAGGGAACGGCTTCAAACTGGAAGGAGTAGGGTTAGATGGGATACTGGGAAGGAATTCCTGGCTGGCAGGGTGGGCAGGCCCTGGCACAGGTGCCCAGAGCAGCTGGGGCTGCCCCTGCATCCCTGGCAGTGCCCAAGGCCAGGCTGGACACTGGGGCTGGAGCAGCCTGGGACAGTGGGAGGTTCCTGCCATGGCAGGGGTGGGGCTGGATGGGGTTTAAGGTCCGTGTCTTTCTTCAATCTGATCAACCAAAAAAACCCCAAACTCCAGCCAAGAATCCTTCTCCTTTATTCAGTGTTAATACTTGATGGAGCATTTATTTCAATTAAATGTTCCTGGCTGTTCCTGGGTTTTCCAGGCAGTCTGGTGGCAGTGCTGGCCCCTCCCTGCTCGTGGCTCTCTGAGTTTGTCACCTGTGGTGTCACCGCTCCGTGGCCCTTTGGGTGGCCACCAGGCAGCGACGTCTGGCAGAGTCCTTGGCTTCCTAACGAGCTGTAAACCAAGCAGCCAATTATTTGTGTTCACAAACAATTAATTAACGCTCTTAATATGAGTAATTATGTTTATCTTGCTGTCCTGGCAAAATTCCATGCTGGTCAATTATGCTCTGCAGGCTTGAATTGTCTCTTCTGTCTCTCTTGAATTGTGTCTGTCTGTTCCATTCTGAGAGGAAGGGAGTGAAGGTGGGGGTGGAGGGGTTTTCCTCCTGTGGCCAAAGTGACATTTGTGTCCAGGGACGTTCCAAATTTCCCTTTGGATAGGCTGGAGAGCCACTGAGTGTCCAGCTGGATGCACCAGCTTGAAAGGTGCTGTCTGGGGAGCAGTGCTGGCTCTGGCTGTGTCCCACACTGAGAGGGGACCCCTGGTGTCCCCAACCCATCAGGTGTCAGTGGCTGATGGACCCTTTGGCTGTGCCAGGGTCAGCATCCCAAACATTCCCCTGGCTCAACAGCAGCCTGGCCCTTGGAAATCATTCCAGCTCCTTCAGGAGCTCAGGACCAGGTTCACACCAGGTGATCACACTGCAGAGGATCAATGGCTTATGAATATCCATGGGGAAAGCAGCTTGGTTGGCTCTGCCTGCCTACAGGGATGAAACCCGGGCTGCTCCTGCAGAGGGGCTCCGTGGATCCCAGGATTTGAGGAGAACTCTCTGCAGTGAGTGTGTGTGAAATTGTGTGCATGCACCGCTTTATTTGTTCCAAGGCCTTTGCTGCTGGTAGCGGCAGATGTGAGTCGAACAGCAGTGCGATCAAACCATCAGAGGCAGAGCATTTCATGGCAGAGTATTCAAAGGCTTGCAGCAGTTTGTTGTTCCAACAGCGACAAATTTTGTGGGAACTTTGTAAGGGAGGCGAGTTTTACCCTGTCACTTCCCATTACCAGCGGGCTCTGAAACCAGAGCCGCTCCACATGAAACAACACTTTAATGTCTCTGTGTCTTTATTAAAAAGTAAACTTTGATCACTCTCACTTACCAGCGAGGCTGAGGTGCCTCCCCCACCCTTGGCTGCGGTGGGGACCCTGTGACCCTCCATCCCCGTGACCTTTGTGCCTTTATTTTGCTTTCCCTTTGTCACCCCGCTCATATTTCCCCAATAAATTCGTTTGGCCGCCGTTCTGCGCCGTAAATTCGGAAAGGCCAACGGGAGCGTCCCCGATTGCCGCTCTGCAGGCTGAGGAGAGCAGTGATCAGCTGAAGTAAATAAGGCTGTAAAATATAAAGAGTGTGATTTTCCCTGGCATCTGCATAAAACCCCCGGCACGTGCGGGTGTTGTTTCCAATCGCGCCGGCGGTTTGTTCGCAATTCCCGTAATTTGATCGCGGCTGATGAAAAGCTGACAAGATTTCCACAGCGCCCCATTAGATGAAAGCAGCATGAAACCAGAGGTTAATCTGCAAACAGATTTTCCTGCTTATTACTCTAATGATTCCATCAGATTTGATGTAGCAGGCTGCGAGGCGTCTCTCGGCAGCAACAGTGTGCTGGGGTTTGATCTCGGTGCTCATTAAATGATGGAGTAATTTGGGTGACCTCTGCCCAGGTGCACATCTCCTCATAATTGCACGGCATTCTGATGGGGAAATTACTGGCGAGAACCCCAAGTATTCATCCCGCTTTCCGAGTGGAAAAACTAACAAAAGAAATATTGCATTAATTTTCAAATGATGATATTACATTTAGTGCCTGGGCCCCATATATCAAAATCTGAGAACTGCTCAGTTACTCGCTGCTCTTAATCTTAATGGTATCTGTGGATGTCAAGGGCATGGAGGAAATTAAATCGGAAAGTGCAGATAGACCTAAGAAGACATTATCTCTTGATGATTGCAGTTTTGATAGGTATTTCAGTGAATTTCATTTTCGCAGAATGGTGGAAGATGAGTTAGCCACCAGATTTTCTCATTTTTCTTCCCCGTGATTTATGTGAGTTGAGTATAAAACTTTTTATGGGAGTGCAGTTACGGCGGATGAGAGGTAAATTAATGCACTGGGTTTCCATCTCGGCCCCGCGCGCGATTGTCAGAGCTGTACATACGTAATGGGGCCCATCATTATTCAGGGTTGTTTACATTCAAAATATGTAATGAAATCTGTTCAGAATAATGAGGGAAATAAAAGTTTAGAAAATTGTAAAGGTCATGAAGTTTGAGAAATGATGCAATGCTCCCAAAATAACATTTAGGCAATATAAATTACATTATTATGCACCAACTCTGCCTTATAGAGACATGAAGATAAAGTGCTTTCGACGAGTAAAATGCTGTTAGTGCTCTCTGAAGTATGAGAATGTGTAAAATGTTTCTGATTTCATATTCTGGTTTTGTGCATATTGTGGAAAAATATATAAAGGAACTTTATGGAGGGCAGTGGCTGCTTCTCTATCCCCAAGTTTAAGTGCCTTTCCTGGGAGGGTTTTCTCCAGCAAACAAATGCTTTGGCAGAAATGTAATTGATTTTTAATCTAATTATTGAGGCCACCAGCGAATTCATCTTTTCAGGGGGGTCTTGCTCCTCTTCTTTTGGGGATTTTGAGTGGAGGTCTTTGCTCTGGATGTATTTTATTGCAGATACTGAAGAGGGATCTTGGCACAATACTGAGATGGAGCATAAATTTGCCCAACTATCTGTGGTCTGCACCTAAAATACAAATCTCTGCACCCTGGTTTTATGCAGGTGCTCCTCAGAATAATTATGTTTTGCCCTGCACATTTTATATTCTAC